AATAGTTCAAAATCCAACATGCTTCCTATGATTGTTAGCATTGCAAATCAAGGAACACACAATTTTTTCAAGTATGATTCATTCAGTGTTTGCCAAATACCTCTGTGGGAGACAGTGTTACAGTACCACATAAAACCAACTCTTCTTTAGGTACGTCATTAACAACAAAATCTTAGTTCATTCCTTCTGCCTCACACCTGTCATCCTAGAGACTCAGGAGGCAGCACTCAGGAAGATAGCAGTTTGAGCCCAGCCTGCACAAATAGCTCCCAAGACCCTATCTCAAAAATACCCAACAGAAAAAAGGGATTGGTGGAGTAGCTAAATTGGTAGAGGGCCTGCCTAGCAGCATGAGACCTTGAGTTCAAACCCCAGTAACACCAAAAAATAATAATGATTATGCATTCCTCATTTCTTATAGAGGTGAAGTGGTGAAGAAAACCTTTAAAGATAGTCATCGTGTTGAACTCTTCAACCAAACACCAGAGCATATTGTGAACCAGAAAACTCATCCAGGAGGAACACCATGTGAAAACCACATGTGTCAAAAAGTCCTCATTGCTCATGCGCCAGTAAATGTCCCCCACAGAACTCTCAGGGGACACAAACCAGATGAGTGTCAGGAATATGGAGAGAATCTGTGTGAACATAAGAAACGTGGGCAAGCCTCTGGATCTCCTGAGTGCCTTCAGAAGCATGGCATGGCTCTCACTGGAGAGAAATCCTATGACAATAAACATGGTGATGACACCTTTAGGTGTCACAGTTCCCGTCAGATACAAGAAGGGACTCATACTGTACAGAAACCATGGGAAAGTTTTTTCTTCCAGTTATTTCCAAAGACATGTAAAACTTCATAATGGAGAAAGCCTATGCATGTAAGCGATGTGGGAAAGCCTTTACTCGCTCTGATTGTCTTCGACAACATGAAAGAATTCACACAAGAAAGAAGCCCTTTACATGTAAGCATTGTGGAAAAACCTTTGCTTGTTCCAGATTCCTTCCGACACATGAAATACTCCACACAGGAGAGAAATCCTATGTGTGTAAGTCTTGCAGGAAGGCTTTCATGGATCCCGTTACCTTTGGTCTCATGAAAGGAAGCACAGTGGAGAGAAACCTATAGATGTAAGCAATGTGGAAAAGCCTTTGTTTATTCCAGTTCTCTAAGAAAGCATGAAATAACTCATAGTGACAAGAATCCCTATATGTATATACAATGTGGAAAGGTTTTCCCTTGTGCCAGTCACAAAAAAGTCATAAAATTACTGACAGTGGAGAAAAACGCTGGGTAGGTAGCAATGTGGTAAAGCTTTTTCTTATAGAAGTTCTAGTTCCCTTCACTACCATGCAGCAACTCATAGTGGAGAGAAACCATATGTATGTAAGTATTGTGGGAAAGCCTTCAGTTCTTGTTATGTTGAAATATATGAAAGAACTCACTCTGTAGAGAAACCCTTTGTCTGCAAGCGGTGTGGGAAAGCCTTCTCTTTGCCTCAAGTTAGAAGACATGAAAAAAATCACAGTTTAGAGAAACCTAATGTATGTAAGCCATGTGGGAAAGCCTTCATGTCTTTAAGTGAGTTTCGAGAGCATTAAAGATGACACAGTCGAGAGAGGCTCTATGTATGTGAGCAGTGTGGCAAAGGTTTCATTATCACAGTGGCTTTCAACAACATAAGCGAATTCACACTGGTGAGAAACCCTATGAGTGCAAGCAATGTGGAAAATACTTCACTTTTTCTTCTTCCCTGAAGAAGCATGAGTGGACTCATGCAGCAGAGAATTCCTAAGTACAGAATTTAGGAAGGCTTCATTATCACATTACCTTTAGCAAACATGACACTGCATAGGGAAGTGGCTACAATGTGAACTGGGAAAGCTTCTAGTCAGTGCAGTTAAATTCAGGACCATAGTATAGCATACGATGGTGAAAAATCCTGAGCAGAAGGGATGTTGCAAAGTCTTCACTTAGGGAACATGTAAGAATGCACTCAAGATCAAAACATTTTAATGTAAAAAAGATAGCAAAGTTGTCATTTAAAGCAAATACTTTGATCTAAGAAAAGACAACCTCAAGATGCTCACAGCTGCCAGGTACTCATAGTGCCCGTAATCACCCCTGTAATCCTAGCTAAGGAGGCAGAGATCAGGAGCATTATGGTTCCCATTCAGCTCAAAGAGTTCAAGAGACCCAATCTCAAAAACACCCAGTACAAAAAAGGGTTGGTGGAGTGACTCAAGGTGCAGAGGACTTGCCTAGCAATGCTGATAAGAAAGCCAACACAAAAAAAGGCTGGCAGGGTGGCCAGAGGTAGAGACTTGTCTACAACTCCAGTACCACCAAAACAAAAACATGCTCATAATTTTAGTTGCTAATTACCAGCTAGCCTCGCTCAATCGACCAAGTTCATCTTGTCCTTTCTTTTATTCCTTCTGCACAACCATCTCCTCACCATGCTGTCATCTGAAGGAGAGATGGAGCTTTGGGGAAGTAGACATTCAGCTTCTGAGAAGCACCAGTAAACCAGAAAAGACCCAGTAGCCCAACCCTCTCAGGCTGTCACTTGAAAACCCTACTTCACTTTGATATGCTTCTATATTTCCTTCACTCACTGCATGGCTGTATTCATGCGTGTGCCTGGGAGATTAATAAAGCTTTATTACCTTTTCTTCATAAACCCTGCTCTTGGAATCTAAGCCAGACTTGGGAAATTCAGTAATACTAAAAATCCCTCATGGTTTGGAATCTCATAAATACAAGTCTTAACAGAACTAGAATTTAGAATGATCTAGAAATTGTATATCCTAAAGGAAATATTATATAAACTCTATTATTTCATTACTGGCTGAGATAGATTGATAGATAGATAGATAGATTTTTTTTTGGTATTATTGAAGTTTTACTTAGGATCTTGTGCTTGCTGTGCAGGCATTCTCCCACTTCAGCCATGTCCAGAGCCCTAACAGCTTTTTTTATGTCGTTGTGTCGGGGGTTGAACTCAGGGCTTCCAGCTTGTGAAGAAGTCATTGGAGCCATTCCTCCAGTCCATTTGGCTGTGGTTATTTTGGTGATGGATTCTCAAACCAGCTGCCTGGGGTGGCCTTGAGCCTTGATCCTCCCAAGTAGCTACAATTACAGGGGTGAGCCCCTTGCACCTGTCACTAGTGGCTCATTCTTAAAGTGAATCTCTGGACTATTTATTTCTTATTTTCTCCCTTGAAAGCAAACTTTGAGGGAGCATTATTCTGTCCTTTTACTCAAAATAGGTAATAGTTTTATGGGGTTTTTTGTCCTTTCATTTTCAACCATGTTGATCCATGTGTAAACCTAGATGCTTTTCTCGTATGCTGAAAGGCTTAATTTTTAAAATTCTATGGTTAGCCAGGAGCTGGTGGCTCAGGCTTGTAATCCTAGCTACTCAGGAGGCAGAGATCAGGAGATCGGCAGTTCGAAGCCACCCCAGGCTTTGTGAGACCCCTATTTGAGACACCCAATGGCGGGGGGGGGCTATGGATCTTATCACAAAATAACGACTGTTGGCTCTGAGTTCAAACCCCAGTACTGAAAAAAAAAATATATATATATTTTAGAGACTTTGTGTAGTAACTCCAACATCTGGGCTTCCTCAAGGAAGGGAGCTTGTTTTGTTGCTTTGAATGGGACATTTTTTTTGTTTATTTGCATTGTGATATTCTTTGGAAAAGTGGAAACATGAATTTTAAAATTTGGTAATAACATCCCCCCCCTCACAACACGGTGGCTTGTTTTTTTTTTAATAAAGAAAATGCAGCATATATGGAGAATGTATGTTGCTCATCCATACAGAAGAATGCAGTTATGTGATTTTAGGAAAAAGAATGGAAATAGAGATCATCACGATGAGCAAGGTAAACCAGACTCAGACAAATGTCACATTTTTATAGTAGAATGTAGAACTTTAACATGAATGGGAAAGGGGGGAGTTGTTTGGGGTGACAACATTGAGAAGGGGTGGGAGAAAGGGGAAATTGGTGAGGGAGTGAATATATGAATAATGCATCATATACATCCGTGAGAACAGTACAGTGAAACCCATCAATAATTCTAAATTCAGAGAGGGAGACAGGGATGGGAAGAAACAATAACAGAGGGGTGAGAGTGATAAAAGTACATTATTTGCTTGTGTGGTAATAGCACAATGAACCCTCCTTGTACAGTTAATATACACCAATAAACACATGTTAAACTCAAGCAGAAAACCACATCAATATATATCATATGTATATGTATGTATGTATATATATATATGCTAATAAAAATAGAAAAGAATACAGTATTCGCCTTGAACCTCCCTCTTTTATGTAAGTTTAAACATTTATTTTACAAAAAAAAATCTACCTTGGAGGCTGGAGGTATGATTCATGCAATAGACAGCCTGCCTAGCAAGTGTGAAGCAGAGTTCAAACCTCAGTACCACCAAAAAAAAAAAAAAAATAGAATACATCTTGGGACAAACTTACGTGGAAAATAGGATCTATTTAGGAGGAAAACATGTAATCTATTGCTAAATTCCAGTTCACTTATGATAGCACAAACATTTTTCCCCCCAAGGCAGAGACTTTACCACTTGAGCAATTCCTGCAGCACAGGAAACTTGATAAAAGTACCGATCTGCAAGCACAGCGTAAGATGTTCAGGAGGCGTGGGGAGAAGCAGGTGTCTGGTCTGGAAAGTCGGGACTGGTTCTGCTCAACACACTTAGAGCCAAGGCTGGGCCAGGTTCGCCCAAGGGGAGGAAGCCTGTGCTGGGGGAGCCCTGGCCTCTGTGCTTTGGGTTCCGCAGAGCCAGGTAGTTGACAGGTCTCCCATCACTCAGGCTTGACTGGGGAGGGGCCTGGAGCTTTAGCCAATCAGGATCGCCGATTTGTGGCGGCAGGGGCTGTCCAATGAGGGGCGCGGACGTGAGACCGCTTCCCAAAGCGTGATCTTCTTTTCCGGCGCCGCCATATTTGAAATCCGCTTTGGTGGTGAGACGTACAGGTGTCCGAGCCTCTTTGGCTCTGTCTCCCTGACTGCAGGAGCCTAGGGCCGACGCCAGGACGCCCGCGAAGGCGGAGGATGGTGAGATGACAGCCGGGGTGGCGGAGCAGCGGCGGGGGCCGGCGGGAAGCGGTGGTGGCGGATGCGGCCCCGGTGTGCGGTCCGCGTCCCCGCCGGCTGCGCTCGGCCCTCGCTCCTCTGGGCGCAGGGTGGGGCTGGGTCGGCACCGGGACAGCGTCCGTCCCCTTTGCGATGCGAGCGGCCACCTCGGCCGCCCGGAGCCCTGTGCGCGGCTCGGCCCCGCGTGTCCCCACGGCGCGGTGACGGCGGCCATGGCGGCTCCTGCCTCGTGCGGGGTCGTGCGCGGGGCGCGCTGTGGGTCCCCGCGTCCCCTCGGTGGCGCCGGGTCTCCTGCGTCTTCAGGGTCGGGGGAAAGGCCGTCCTGTGCAGCTTGGCGGAGGGAGGGGAGGGGACTCCGCGCCCCCTGTGACGTCACGGTCACCTCTGTGACGTCACCGGGTCTTAAGGAAAAGCTGATGGGGAGGGACAGTATTTGAGGGGGGCGTGGCAGCAGGGGCGTCGCAGCCCATGTCAGGTGAGACACCTGGAGCCGGTGGCTCTTGAGTGAGAGGAGAGAGGACTTAGGGGACACTGGGGCTGTCCCAGCGGGGGCGGACACTGCCTCACAAGGTCCATGCGGAAGCACGGCAGCGATTTGCGAGGCGGATCCCACATAAAATCGCAGCGTTCCTTACATCGTCATGAGGCCTGGGCCTCACCTTTGTGCAGACTTTCCACCTGAGCCCAAAAGCCGCAGGACAGGGGAGTCCCAAGCTGGTGACAGGACGCGTCACAGAGCCGTTGAAAGCAGGGCAGGAAGGGGTAAAGAATGGAGGCGCGCTGGCGGATTGTCGTCGGACGCTTGGGGATTTTTTGGCTGCTGTGGTTCTGTCTGGCACAGCTGCTTTTAATGAGCCTGCTTGTCCCTGACGGTTGGCTGGGTGGCAGCTGCCTCTACTGAGCGGCCTTGCCTAAGACCCTCTCCTGTGGAAAGCCCAAGGCTTAGGTCCCTAAGATCCTCTAAGGTGAGGCCAAAAGGGCTGTCCCTTCTAGGAAGGACGCAGGCATAAAAAGGGGGGGACACGATGGTGGGAGAACATAAGCACCTGGACTAGAGAACATGGTCCCCTGAAGTCAGCCTGTCCTTTGGGTGATGGTTTAGGTGAAATGGTTTGCAGCTCAGGCTGAGGATGGGTCAGAGATCCCAGGCCTGGAGGAGGGAGAGAAAGTTAAGGAAAGTTGGCTTCATTGTTTTCATTTTTACAATCAGCTCAGCTAACCATGTATGTTTGTCTTATTTGTGCTGGTGGTGGGGGCAGTGCTGTGGATTGAACTCAGGGCCTTGTCCTTGCTGATTTATCACTGAGAGGTCATTGCGTGGAATTCTGGAAACAATAGCTTTAATCACTAACAACAGCAATAGTACTAGGTTTTGCCTCTTGAATTTTGTACTGGGTTGTATGGTCATTCCTATACCATGACTATATGCTGCCAAACCATTTATGGTTCCTTTGCCTTGATCCCTCACTCATGGTGAAAGGGAACATCTGGATCTTTATTCTGTTTATTCAGTCCTCTGGCAGAGAGGTTCACCTTGCTTCTTGACTATCTTCTGATGGTGACAGTCTTGTTGTCGTTGGCAACCGGTGCTAGTGCATCAGGACTTTCTGTCCTTTTTCTTTTTTTTATAGAATAGGAAAATAATTGTTGGTGAGTTGGTTAGATTGTGGATAAAACCAAATTTAGTAGGAAATTGTGAGGGTAATAAAAGAATTTATCATGTGATCTTTTTTGGATTTGTTTATTGTGTGATTTAGTAATGATCTAATTCACTTCCTTTTGCCCAGGTAGAGTTACAGGATATTTCTGTGTGACTATCCTCTGTTACACTCATTTCCTCTGGCATTGACCATTTTTCTTACATGGACTTTTATGAACAGTGAAAATTGTTTTTCTTTCTCATTCTCCATTCCTTCCTCCTTCCTCTTTTTTTTTCCCCCCCCCCAATTTGAACTGTAGAACTCAGGGCCTCAGGATTGCTAGGCATGCACTCTACAACTTGAGCCACACCTCCAGCCCTTTTTTGTATTGGATATTTTGAAGATAGGATCTCCTAAACTATTTGCCTATAGCTGGCTTCAAATTTGATCCTTCTGATCTCCCTCCCATGTAGGTAGGATTGCAGATGTGTCCAGCTCATTCTCTCTCTATGTGCTATGTAAATCTGTTCTGTTTTTCTGGAGACTTTTGGCGAGCTGGGCGCTAGTCAGGTGCTCTTACCATTTCAGCCACTCCACAAGCCCTCTTTGTGGAGATAGGGTGTTGCTAACTGTTTGCCCAGACTGCCTTTGAACCACCTGCTCTCTGCCTCCTGAGTAGCTAGAATTACAGGCGTGAGCCCCCGCCACCAGCTCATGTTTGTTTTTCTTTCAAGTCCAGGTGTTTATACTAGATGATAATAAAGCCATTGATTTTTGTAAATGAAGTTCATTGACTCCAGGACAGTTTTGTGAGTCCTTTGGGATTTTCTGCGTACTTAATGCTGTCACTTTTGACTGTTGACATATTTGTTTGTTCTTTATGAATATGTGGGTTCATTTTCGCATATCTAGAAACCTTATTTGTTTTGTGGTGCTGGGTGCTGAGTCTAGGGCAGTCTTATTTGTATTAGATAGGCTATTGCTTTCTTATTGCAAAGATTGTCAATCTTATTAGGCATTTATTATACCTAATAGGTTTGGTAAAGTTACTTTTTTTGTTTGGATTGTTAAAGGTGTGTTTTGGAAGTTAGAAAATTTTATGTATCTTGTGTAGCTGGCAAATCTTTGTTCCAGTGAGCTGTTTCTAAGGACATTTGCATCCCTTCCTTTGTTCTTTATCTGTTGACATTCTCAAATAAAAGGTATAATTTTTATTTATGGGCATAATTACTCTTCCTGAGTCCTGTTAGTTTTTCATTCAAAATAGTCTACAAGAAGACTAGTACAAACACCCCATTTCTGTCTCTCAGTTTAGTCACAAAGAATGTGCTCACTTCCCTAAGGAGCAAACTGGGTTTTGTTGTTGTTCTGTGGGATTTTGGGGGGTTTTTTGTTTTTGGTGGTCCTGGGTTTTGAACTCAGAGCCTTTGTGCTTGCTAGGAAGGGGCTCTTCTCCTTGAGTCAGCACTCTCATGCGTTCGGTATTGCTGAGATAACTCTCTTTTGAACTGTCTGCCCAGTACCGACTTTGAACCCCCATGCTGAACCCCCCTCCGCCTCCTGAGTAGCTAGAATTACAGGCATGAGCCACCAACACTAAACTTTAAGAAGCAAGTTGTGAGGAGGTGTTAAATAGAATCTGTCCAACCAGCTCATCAGAATTTCAGAATCCAGGGTATATTTTGGGTTCTAATCAATAGACTCCCTCAATTGAGCATGTGACAGAATTGCAAATATTCAGAGAGAGAACAGGTGTTGAACAAATAGCATATTGTTTGCTCAACACTGTGAGAGACTCAAGACAGCATTACAGTTAGACCAGTGACGTGCCAGTAAGATTTTCCAGACACCAGGAGCGGTGAAATTTCCTCTGTGGCATGTGGAAGAATATGCAGTCTCAGGAGAGTTGGTGTGAACTCTGTTGTGGGCTCTAGTGATAGGAATTTTTAGAGTTGAGAGTCCCAGGGTAGAGAGAGATTAGAGTGACCCATCCACAGATGGTGTCCCTGTTCTGCTGTTAGTTTTGAAATAGTTCCAGTCTAGGAATCAATTGCAGCCTGAGAAGGTGTGAGAATGGGTGGGGTGTAAGAGCTTGGCACAGAGTGAACATTTGGGAAACACCATCGTGTGAACTGGTTATGACCTGAGTCTGGAGTCCAGTACTGTGGCTCTCACCCTTCCTTCTGGAAATGTATGTGGGGTGTTTTAGGAGTCGGTGACCTTTGAGGACGTGACTGTGAACTTCACCCTGGAGGAGTGGGCTCTGCTGGATCCTTCCCAGAAGAAGCTCTACAAAGATGTGATGCTGGAAACCTTCAGGAGCCTGGCTGCTATAGGTAAAGACAGTACCATTCCCTCACTTAATCAATCACAGAGCAAGTGTTTCTGGGTTATCTGTGCTGTTGCATGATTTGGAATATGGAAAAGGGACATTTTTTGTGAAATAGCAGCAGACTAGATGGCTTTATGTTAGGAATTTAGGAATTTTTCTACAATGTTGTAGTAATTCATAATGGTGTTTCTGTTCTAAATTTTAGGAAAAGCACAGGAAGAACAAAACACTGAAGATGAGCACAAAAACTTGAGGACAATGCTAAGGTAATTTGCACTGACAGTACACAGCAATGCCTCTGTACAACCTTGGTGTTAAAAAACATCTTAAAAACGAGGAAATGATGCAAATAAATCTGACTTTAAATTAGTTTAATCTCAGAAAATCTTCTTCAAAACTGCATATGAGATAGGCTGTGGTTGCTCACGCCTATAATCCTAGCTACTCAGGTGGCAGAGATCAGGAGGATCACTGTTTGAAGCCAGCCCAGGCAAATATCTGTGAGACCAGTTCTGGAAAAAGTCCATTACTAAAAAAGTGCTAGTGAAGTGACCAAGTGGTAACTGTGCATGAGGCCCTGAGTTCAAACTCCAGCGTTGTCAAAAAAAAAAAAAGAAAGAAAAATGCATAAGGGTGAACATCCATAATCAAACAATCCAAAATGCAAAATGTTCTAATATGAGGAACTTCTAGAGTGTCATGATGCCTGTCACAGGTGTCATTTTATCATGGTTTTACTAGATACAAATTATAATGTGTATAATATTATTTAAAATAAAGCATTAAGTGACCTTCAGTGTTTGGGTATAAGGTTCATATGAAACAGAAATGAATTTCTGTGTAAACTGGTAGCAATCTGCAATGTATTTCCTTGTATACATGCAAATTCTTCATAATCCAACATGCTTCCTGTGGTCTCTACCATTGTGAATCAGAAACAGGCAACGTTTCTAAATGTAACATAGACATTCAGTGTTTGCCCATGTGGGAGACAGTGTTACAGAATGCACATGAATGCCACCGTTTTGAACTCACCTCTCCATGCACCATACTACAGGGCATTCTGCTGATCATGTCTAAAAATAATTGAATGCATATGTCTCTATCTTTTAGCTACTGGGCTTTGAACTCAGCCCTTCCCACTTGCTGTGTAAACCTTTTGCCATGCTTCAGATAAGCTGTTAACGAACAAAAACAATTTTTTTTTCTTTTTCGGTAGGACTGGGGCTTAAATTGAGGGCTTCACTCTTGGAAAGCAGGCCCTCAACCTCTTTACCCACACCTCAATCCATCTTGCCCATGGTGTTTTCAAGATAGGGTCTCCTGAACTAATTTCATGGGCTGGCCATGAGGCATGAGCCCCAGAACCTGACTAACCAACAAAAATCTTACTGAGTTCCTCATTTTTTACAGAAGTGAAGGATGGAAGGGACTCTTTGGACATACTGAAGGTAGTCACTCTGTCGAATTCTTCAACCAGACTACAGAGCATATGGCGAACCAGAAAACTCATCCATCAGTAACACCACGAGAAAGCCGCCTGTGTGAAAAAGTCCTCATTGCTCCTTCATCAGTAAATGTCCTCCACAGAACTTTCATGGGACACAAGCCAGATGAGTGTCAGGAACATGGAAGGGAAGCTGTGTGAACATAAGAAATGTGGACAAGCCTCCCGTTCTCCCCAGTGCCTGCAGAAGCATGACATGACTCTCACTGGAGAGAAACCACAGGAATGTAAGCAGTGTGGGAAAGTGTTCATTTCTTCCAGTTCCTTCCAAAGACATAAACGTCTTCACAATGGAGAGAGACCCTATGTATGTACGGCATGTGGGAAAGCCTTTACTCGTTTAGGTTCCCTTCAGACACACCAAAGAATTCACGCAGGAGAGAAGCCCTATGCTTGTAAGGATTGTGGAAAAACCTTTACTCGTTCTAGTTCCCTTCTGACACATGAAAGGATCCACACGGGAGAGAAACCCTATGTGTGTAAGTCTTGTGGGAAGGCTTTCACTGATTCCAGTTCTCTTCGATTTCATAAAATGATGCATAGTGGAGAGAAACCCTATAGGTGTAAGCAATGTGGAAAAGCCTTTGCTTGTTCCAGTTCTCTAAAAAAGCATGAAATAACTCACAGTGAAGTGAAACCCTATGGATGTAAGTATTGTGGAAAAGCCTTTGTTTTTTCCTGTTCTCTAAAAAAGCATGAAAGAACTCATCCTGAAGAGAATTCTTATATGTGTATGCAATGTGGGAAGGTTTTCAGTTGTGACAGTTCCTTAAAAAAACATAAAATTATTCATACTGGGGAGGACCTCTGTGAATGTAAGCAGTGTGGGAAAGCCTTTACTTCTAGTTACATTGAAATCCATGAAAAAATTCACACTAGAGAAAAACTCTGTGTATGTAAGCAGTGTGGGAAAGCCTTTGCGTCTTCGAGTCACTTTGCAGTACATGAACGACGTCACAGAGGAGAGAGGCCCTATGTATGTGAGCAGTGTGGCAAAGCTTTCAATTGGTGCAGTAGCTTTCGAAGACATAAACGAAGTCACAGTGGAGAAAGTATCTGTGTCTGTAAGCAGTGTGGGAAGGCCTTGTCTTGTTTGAGTAGTCTTCGAAGACATCAGCGAATCCACACTGGACAGAAGCCCTATGAGTGCAAGCAATGTGGGAAAGCCTTCCGTTTTTATGGCGGTCTTAAGAAACATGGGCGGACTCATGCTAAATATAGAAAGTGAGAAGGCCGCATTGTCACATGAGCTGTTGGTCACATATGACAACGTACAGGGAAGGGAGGTAGCTTCAATGTATACTGTGTGGGAATGCCTCTAGTCAGCTGGGTCGAATTCAAGAACATAAACTTGAATATGTACTGTGGTGAGAAATCCTGAGTACAAGGGATATTGCAGAGTCTTTTAGTCAACGTGTAAGAATGCATCTAAACTCCAAACCTTGCTAATGTAGGGGGCGCAGGTGGCTCACGCCTATAATCCTAGCTACTTGGGAGGGTCAGATCAGTAGGATCTCAATTTGATGCCTCCTTGGTAAGTGATTAGCAAGAGCTTATCTCCAAAATAACCAGAGCAAAATTGGCTGGAGCACACATGTTCAAGTGGTAGAGCACCTTTGCAAGTGCCAAGCCCTGATTACAAATTCCAGTCCGGGGGGGTGGGGGACTTAATGTAAAAATCATGGCACATTCGTTATTTAAAGGTGTGTGTCATCTTTGTGTGTGGAAAGGGCTGACCCCGTGGTGTAGGGGTCCAGGACAATAGGGTGAATGTAAAGACTGGCAGCAGAGATAATATCTGAACCTCCCCAGGCTGCCTGGAAATGCCCCATGTCATTAATTATTAACACTGTGATTCCTGTGGTCCCTTTCGTCCTGCACAGAAGGGAAGCAGAGATAACCACTTCTAAAGGTCTGCTCAGTGTAACCCACCTTATCACCTTTGTAAGATTTTAGGTGGATTTCCCTACTTAAGACTTCGTAAATGTTACTTGTATCTCATGCATTCAGTTATAACAGTAAATTCTGGGTAGGGACATGGCACGGTCAGGAATGAGTTCTATAACATGTGAGTGTGAAGCAAAACTGCCAGTCACCCTATGCAGCTTACAAAGAACCCTAGGTTCTAACCTGTCTCCACACCCAAACCTCCTAAAAGCCAGATGGAAGCAGAGGACTGGGCCTTTCTGCTCTGCTGGAGCCTGAGCTTCCCTTAGTGGTGTTACTTTTACTTTCCACTTTGGTTTTTGTTTTTTTTTCTCCCAGTACTGGGGCTTGAACTCAGGGCCTATACCTTGAATCACCCCCACCAGCCCTTTTTTGTGAAGGGCTTTTTTAGATAGGGTCTCAAAACTATTTGCCCAGGCTGGCTTTGAACCATGATCCTCTTAATCCTCCTGAGTAGCTGGGATTATAGGTGGGAGCCACTGGTGCCTGGCTATTGGTTCCTTTTATGGCCACATCCTTGGTTTCTGGTTCTCAGACTCCAGAAGTAGCCCTCAAACTGCTTCTCCTGTCCTTACCTCTCCTGTGTAGGTCAGTGTCAGGTCATCCTGTTTTTGCTGTCGCATTCTGGAACACTTGCTTTATGGTCAAACAAGTGAAAAGCATTCTGTGATTAAATTTTCTTTCTTTTTATTGTATCTCAGTTATTGAACCCTTCCCCTACCTTCCTGGCTTGTTCCTAGAAGGAATAGGAATGTGGAATTAAATCTGTGTGATTGCAGGTATTTTTTTTTTACTTCTGTGTTCTTTCATGCTGGCCTCTGATGTAGAAGTATGTGACTCCATGTTTTGATGTGTGTGACTATTTAACCCTCAAAAGTCTCCCTCCCTTTAAGCTCCACATGAAGATAAGATAGTCAAAGGCTGGGGCCTCCTAACTTTGGCCTGGCTAAGCTTCCCTTTGAACCTCAGTGGTCAGATTCCTTTCCTTGCTCCCTTAAAAGATGGCTTTTGTCTTGGCTTTTTCAAGGTTACTTTTCAGTGCTGTGCAAAAGAACACATCTGTCTCTAGCTACAAACCTAAATGCATTCTCTGGACATTAGAGAAAAACAAACGGTCTGCAGATTCCATTAAAATTCCAATTACGTGGGAAGAGGGAAGGATGGGGGTAAATCCAACTGAGATATATTTTAAACAAATGTGTGACTGTCACAAGGTACCCCTGTACAACTGTTACATGCTAATAAAGTCATTTTAAAACTTCTCATTCTGGGTGATAGCAGTGGAATATGTCCATCGAGCCTCCACCCATGCAGCTCGTCCTCTGCTGCGCTCCTCCACATGAACACTGGCTGATTCTCCAGCAGTGTCCTTGGATCTCATTTTGCATATGTTGCTCTATTTTGAGTTGGAAATGTTTTGACCGTTTCAGTTTTTTTCTCTTTTTTTTTTCTGGCAGTGGAGGGGTTTGAACTCAAGGGCCTCACCCTTCCTAGGCAGGCAGTTGAGCTGCTCTGCCAGCCCTTGGGCATTTGCTGATCGTGTTCAGCTCCTGTTTATGAGGCACAAAAATCCTTCAGTATTGCATGTGTTGCAGGATTCTTTTTCCCCACTTTATTGTTTTTCTTTTGCATACATTAATTCCTTTCCTTTTTCCAGTCATGAGAGGGTGCCATTACGAAGATGAATCAAGCCTGGAATTTGTGATGTACCCCAGGCATCTTGTCAGTTCTTTTTTCCATGGTGCTGGTAGTCCAACCCAGGGCTTCACGCATGCTAAGCAAGTATCAAATTAGCTGCAACTCCAAATTTCCTGTATTAATTTCTCATACCGGCTTTTTGTTTATTTTTGTTTCGTTTTGGTGGCGGTGGGCATGGATCTCAGGGCCTCACCATCGCTAGGCAGACGCTCTACCCCTTGCTCTGCCTCCAGCCTGTGGCTTGGTCGTCTTCTGCACAGGAAACCTCCTTTGTGTGTATCCAAAGACCACCTGCCTTTCCTTTCCCTGCATTCAGGTTTCATCTTTCCTCTTTCAAGTAATTTGATTGTTGTGCATGGACCACAGGGGGTGCGATGGGTCCACACAAGTGACATCAGTGTGTCCCTGCCTCGGGTGTGAAGGTCACTGCACCCACCACTGCTGCCCAACGGCTGCTCTGCCATTCATCTGTTCACACGATGGCCCAGTGAAGACTGGTTTCCTTACTCTGATCTATTCTCTGTGAATAGCATGGTGTCCTTACACTGTAGTTTCAATGTCTTTATTACATTGGCAAGATACCATTTTCTTTTATTTTGCTTTTTTTGTGGAATTGGGGTTTGAACTCAGGGCTTTGTGCTTGTTAAGCAGGTGTTCTACCACTTGAGCCAAATCTCCAGTCCAAGCTATACTTTACTTGTTCCAAAGGTTGAAATTTTTGTTAAATCTTACCCAGGCGCCGGTGGCTCTCACCTGTAATCCTAGCAACTCAGGAGGCAGAGATCAGGAGGATCTCATGGTTCAAAGCCAGCCCAGGCAAATAGTTCTGCGAGATCCTATCTCAAAAAACCCTTTACAAAAATAGGGCTGGTGGAGTGGCTCAAGGTGAAGGCCCTGAGTTCCAGCCCCAGTACTGCAAAACAAAACAAAAACCTGTTAAATCTTTACTAGATTTGGAAAAGCAGTTTTTGTTGATGAATTAAATATGTGTGTGTGTGTTTGTTTTGCGGTGCTGTCAGGACTCAAGTGGGAACTGCCTTTGGGGCTGTGTTTGACCTGTTGCTTTCAGGAGCACAGGTAGCAGGACAGGAGAGGACAAGGAGCTGGGGAAGGGGGATCAGGAGGGACAAGACCCCGGAATGGGAGGCAGGGTGGTAGGGGTCACAGCACAGGTAAAGTGGGGGCTCCCCACAGTCATGTGTCTAGGGTTCATGCAACTTTTTGTGTTTTTTTTAAACGGTGGTTTCTGTCAATGGCTGTTTTATGAGCAAGCATGAATGCAGCATATAGGGCGGCTGGGCGTGGCTCTGGCAGAGCACCTGCCTAGTACCTCGGCCCTGAGTTCAAATCCCAGTACTGCCAGTGACTAAAACAACCCAGGGGTGTTGTATCTTGAATTCATGGCCTTCCCTTGTCTTAAGTCATAGATCAGTAGCTGTGCACTTGTGGAAAATGACAAATGCCTGAAATAGTATGTTGGATGGTTGCTTGGTTCCTTGCCTGGTTTTCTCTACACATTTCCTCCACATTGTATTCGGATTTGAAGTCTTAAGAGCTAATTGCGATATTGAGTTAATTTCTTCCTCAAAAAAAAAATTACTACGTTTTTCTATTTCCCTGGTCAGAAGGGCAGGGGAGAGAAGCTAGATAGCGCCCTCGCCCTGTGGTGTGAGTTTCCTTGCATCCATTTACCTTGAGTTAAAAACAAGTCTTGCTCTATAAAATGTAGTGTGTTTTAAACCATTTTGTCTTTGGAAAAAGATGATTTTATTGTTAATTATCGTTGCTGCTGTACTTTCCTAAGAAAGATTGTTTATTTTTCTTTATTTTTATTGGTGGTGCAGGGTTTGAACTCAGGACCTCGTGCTTGCTAGGCACATGCTTCACCACTTGAGCCACTTTGCCAGTCCTGTTTTTTGTGAGGTATTTTCGAGATAGGGTGTTTGAGAACCGTTTGCCTGGGTTGGCCTCAAACCTGGATCCTCCTGATCTCTGCCTCCTGAGTAGCTAGGATTATTGGTGTGAGCCACTGGTGCCGGCTGGGAAGATTTTTACTGGCTGTTTGAGACTTGAATCATTCTTAGAATGGGAGCGTGAAAGAACAGCCCGTGTTGTCTGAAAAAGAACTGGAAGCTGTTAGCATTCTTCAGAGAGCAGACAAGCCTGTCCAAAGGCATAGCATTGGGTGAAGTTCTTAAACCTTGTAAAAGTGTTGATGTGAAGACACCTAAACTAGGTGATGAACAGCTAGAGAATCTAGAGGATGAGGTTCTGACCTGGCAGAAATTAAAGCACCTGAACATTCAGTGGCATAGTAAGTGCCATTTGACGGCTTCAGTCACAAGCCACCGATCTCTGTGGTTAAGTGCTGGCTGGTGGATCACGGGGTCCCGTCCTGGCATAGTTGGTGATCGAAGGTGCCAGTCCAGGAGTTACAGCAAAGCACGCACAAGGTTTATTGGCAGGCAGCAAACCCTCCCAGCTCTGGAGGGCTTAGGAAAGCTCAAGCCGCAGCATAGCTGGAGTCTAGGAGTGATAGAAGGCTCTGCGTGGCTTAAGTTCACCTAGTCTCCCTTACAACTATGTGTGATTGACACCAGGTCAGCTTCTCGATGAACTTGGCCCCTGTACATCCTTCTCCTCATCAAATGGGGCACTCCAAGAAGGTCTGCTCAGCTCGCCCTGGCCTTAGGGCCCACTTCCCACATTGTGCAGCTGCGTTCTGTTATTTTGCTGAGGGAATTGTGATTTTTCTCAGAAGCCTCGTTTCCCATGTCTTTTTTTCCTTTTCTTTTTTGCAGTGCTGGGGCTTGAACTCAGGGCCTACACATTGAGCCACCACTCCAGCCGTTTTTTGTGATAGGTGTTTTGAAATGGGGGTCTCGTGAACTATTTGCCCGGGCTGGCTTCGAACCATGATCCTCCTGATCTCTGCCTCTTGAGTAGCTGGGATTATAGGTGTGAGCCACCGGTACCCAGCAGTGTTTTTCTTTTGCAACTGTAACTTTGAGTTATGCTAATATAAAATTAGTTTTTATTCATTGAGCGTATTATGTGATCACTTAAAATAGAAAGGAAAAATAATTTTCACTTTAAAATAATTGTGAGTAGAGAGCCACCGTTTGGAATGTAGCTTCTTTGTTTTTGTAGGCCACTGGTAAGGAAAATTTAGTCCTAAAATTTCTAGCTTGAACAGTGAGATGGTGAAACTAGAAGAACAAATTGCTCTTTTAAAAGAGGAAAGTAAAGAGTTTTTTTCCTTGGTGGAACTGGAATTTGAACTCAGGACTTTGCATTTGCAAAGCAGGAGCTCTACCACTTCAGCCACACCTCTAGTCCATTTTGCTCGGGTAATTTTGGAGATGAAGTCTTGGGAACTATTTTCCAGGGTTGGCCTCGAACCATGACCCTCCCAATCTCAGCCTCCCAAGTAGCTGGGATTACAGGTGGGAGCAACTGGCACCTGGAATAAGTGGAGTTTTGATCAGCAGATTCCTAAACAGGATTACTATACAGCAAGTCAAGAGTTGATTTTAAATCAATTGGAAAGCAAAAGGCGTCATTTGACTACTACAGTTGTCATATGGAATTGAGTTGAAGACGTATTGGAATGCATACCAGCAACTTGAAAATTTGGTTCAAGACCTTAGTGGAAGGAGCATGGTCCTCTCCCAGCGATTAGAAATGTCAACAGAGCCCAGCGCAGGGGGCTCACGCCTGTAATCCCAGCTGCTTGGGAGGCTGAGAACAGGAGGATTGAGGTTTGAGGCCAGCCTGGGCAAATAATCTTAGATACCCCATCTCCAAAATAACCAGAGCAAAGTAGACTGGAGGTGTGGCTCAAGCAGTAGAGCTCCTGCTTTGCAAGCACAAAGCCCTGAGTTCAAACCCCAGTCCCACCAAAAACAAAAAAGAGAAACAGCAACAGATCCATTAGTCTCTCAGCAGACAAATCCAAGGAATACCATTAGCACCAAAGACGATTCTACTCAGGTGCCCATGTTTCGCTGCCCCCTCGGCAATCTCGGTCTTGTTTGGTGACATATTGGACAGAGTTTGAACTGAAACTGTGTACTCCAGCTTTGGCCTTTCTGTTCTCTTCTGCTTTTTCCTTTCCAAGTTTTTGCCTCCTTTCAACTCGTGTTAGATCTGACCTAGCCACTTCTGAGCTGAAGTCAATGGGTGGGAGGAACAAATAGAAGATTTCTCTCCCTGTCGGTACCATTATCTAAACACCGTAGTTTGGATTTAGGGAGTTTGAATGCAAGTTGGTGTAGTAGATATGTTGTGCACTGGCTGATGCATTTGGAAAAGGTAGCATTAGAAGGAGGAAAGACGCCATTTCTGTGCCTGGTCAGGTGAATCGCTGAGTGAGTGAGTGCTGTACAGTAGAAACGTTCGTTATGGCACTGTCCACGCCAGCTTCATGGAATCAGCTCAAGTGCCCATCAACAGATGAGTGCACAAAGAAGTTATGTTACAGCTGGGTGTGGTGACTCATGCCTGTAATCCCAGCCAGCTGCTTGGAAGACGGAAATTGGGAGGATCAAAGCTTGAGTTTGACTCCAGCGAAAAAACTAATGAGATCTCATCTCAGTCAGTAAGCCGGGCATGGGGGTAGACACCAATGATCCCAACTATGCAGGAGGCTGAAGGTAAAATGATCTCAACCTAAGGCCAGCACCAGGTGAAAATGTGAGACCCTGCCTGAAAAATAGAGAGAGAAAAGGACTGGTGCAGTGGCTCAAGTGGTAGAGCACTTGCCCAGCAAGTGTGAGGCCCTGAGTTCAAACCTCATTACTGCCCAAAAGAAGTAAAAAAGAAAAAAATCGTAATATGTACACAATGAAATTTTGTTATTAATTCATGAAGCAGAGTGAATGACGCCATTTGCAGGAAAATGGATGGAACTGGAGATTCGTGTTTAGTGAAATAAGCAATGCTCAGACAGGTACTGCATGTTTTTTAAGTGTACAATGACAAGTACAGTGGGGACTGTGGGGAGGGGGACAAGGGAAGGTGATAGGGACTGAATAAATTACATGCATAAGCATTGTATGTAACATGAAAATGGGATGAAACCCATTTTGTACAGTAAAAAGCAATAGTAATTTAAATTCCCTTTTTTTTTTTTTTTTTTGCAGCACTAGGGTCTGGACTCGGGGCCTCACGCTTGCTAGGCAGGTGCTGTACCACTTGAGCCACTCTGCCAGACCTTTTTTGTAGAGGGTATTTTCAAGATAGAGGCTCAGGAACTATTTGCCTGGGCTGGCTTTGAACCGCAGTCCTCTTGATCTCTGCCTGCTGAGTAGCTGGGATTACAGGCATGCGGTGCCAACACCTGGCAGTTTTAGTTTTTCGCTTTCAATCCCTGCACAGTTCTGCAGAATACAGACAAGAAGTTGAGGTTCATTTGCCCTGGTTCCCACATAGCAGAGAATGCAGAGCTGGTCTCGGAACTCGAGATCACTGCTGCTGCTAGGCGGCGTCACCGAAGTACACTTTGAAGTTGGTTAAGACGAATTTTAGAATCAAAAGTGGAAAATTAAGAAAGTGAGAACTCAGATCAATTCTAAAAGAAGACGCTTGTTTGTTCATTTTCTTTTGTTTCTTTGAGACAGTGTCTCACTGGCTTTGAACTCACTCAGCCCCCAAAACTGGCTTTGAATTCTCAATCCTCCTACCTCAGCCTCCTGAGGGCTGGGATTACAGGTGTGAGCCATCACACCCAAATTCCTATATTTAGTTGAAATGGGTTCCCTTGCTTGATTTTGGTAGCATACAAATTAATCTCCTTCAGTTGTTGCTTAGCTTTCCTCACAAATGTAGGTTGGAATTTTCAAAGTTACCATACTAACTTGAGGATTTTTTTTTGTGTTTGCATTTTAGGCTTGATCAAGTTTTAGAGGAAGACAATATAATTATTTATGACCTATGGACACCTGGAGGAAGTGTGTGAGAAATTTATCCCGGATACTTCTTTAGAACAAGATCAGTGGCAGTATCTACACCAGAACATCTTTCCTTTTTGTCCAGAATGAATAAGGGTACAGACGTGCTTTGTGGCAAGGAAAAAGTCAGCTTTTCCTTAGTGATCAGGTGGGTGTGTAATTGTAATTAAAAACGCCTTAAAAAAATGTGTCTGGGCCGGACGCTCGTAGCTCATGCCTGTAATCCCAGCTACTCTGAGACAGATCAGGAGGATGGAGGTTCAAAGCCAGCCAGGGCAAATAGTTCACGAGACCCTATCTCAAAAAAACCCTTCAACAGTCAGACCGGTGGAGTGGGTTAAGGCGTAGGCCCTGAGTTCAAATCCCAGCATCGCAAAAACCAAACCCTGACTTGAAGGCACACACCTGTGGTCCCAGCTCCTCAGGAGGCAGAGCGCTTTGGCCTAACAAGCATGAGGGCCCGAGCTCAATCCCCAGTACTGCAAAAATAATAATGTTCACTATAAAATATTTCAATAAAATACGAACATGAGCGAGATCCTATCCCATCCCTTGCCCTAATAGAAACTTTGTTTTCATATTCTAATTTTTGTTCATATGTAAATATATTTTTCAGGTAGTTTGATTGTTGTACACAGAGTTAAAAAATTTTTAAACATTTTCAGACCCCATAAGAGGGTACTGATATTGTGGGAAAAAGAAATAAAACCAACTTGTAATATTTATTTATTCTTTTTTTTTTTTTTGCGGTACAGGGCCTTCACCTTTAGCCACTCTGCCAGCCCTATTTTTGTGAAGGGTTTTTCCAGATAGGGTCTCACGAACTATTGGCCCAGGCTGGCTTCGAACCATAATCCTCCTGATCTCTGCCTCCTGAGTAGCTAAAATGACAGGTGTGAGCCACCAGCGCCCAGCTCACCCTGCCTTTTTTGACTCATCTTCACAAATAAAGTAAAAAATACTGCCCGTACGTCCTTCCTCTGTGTACATTCATTTACTGACATGCACTCCTTAAAAAAGTAATACTTGGGCCTGGTGGAGTGGCTCAAGTGGTAGAGCGCCTGCCTAGCAAGCACAAGGCCCTGAGTTCAAACCCCAATGCCACCAAAAAAGAAGTACTGCTGTAGATTAGGATGTAGCTCGGTGGTGAGCACTTGCCAAGCATGGCAAGGCCCTGGGTCCCATCCCCAGCACCACAGAAAAAGTAGTTGTCTGTGAAATCATGACAATGATGGCTTCAGCCATCATTCTTGAACTGGTCCACTGGAACCAGCAGGGAGCCTGTGGAAAGCAGATTTGACTCTGTCTGGAAGATGAGTGACTTAGTCTGGATGGAGTGAGGTGCAGGGGTTCCACAGTCACGACAAGTGTCCAGGTGACCCTGATGCTTGTGGAGCACACTGAGAAGCTGGGGGACAGTGCAGAGGTGGAGCTGCAGGTTTCCAAGAGCACAGTGCACAAGTGACAGCCACAGAACCTTGTCACTGCACTGCTTTCAGTGCCTGGCAGCCAGGAAGACACACTGATGAATGCAAGGGCCCAGCACATTCTGCAGATCGAGCAGATGTGTGTAAGTCTCGCTGGCTTTTGTTGAATGTTACATGTAACTCTATCTTGTAAAACAGTGTGAGAGCCCGGCGCTGGTGGCTCAGGCCTGTAATCCCAGCTACTCAGGAGGCAGAGATCAGGAGGATCATGGTTCAAAGCCAACCCAGGCAAATAGTTCGTGAGACCCTGTCTTGAAAAACCCATCACAAAAAAAGCTGGTGGAGTGGCTCAAGATGTAGGCCCTGGGTTCAAGCCCCAGTATGGCAAAAAAAAAAAAAAAAAAAGAAAGAAAGAAAGAAAGAAAAAATGACAGTGTGAGAAAAAAATGGGGGATTTTGGTTGAGGTAACTCTTTTACGTTTTAGCAAGGATTTTAGTGTAACAGGATAAAGTAGGGAGAAATGGGGCCAAAAAAGGGGAGAAGCATTTTCTACTCCCACACAGGAAGTGGGAGTCAAGACTTGGGTAATAATTTTTTCCTGGACTTCAAGACTTTCTCATATTTAGGCCTGGAGTAAAGAGCACCAAGGCTAGAGTGAAATGTGACTAATTAAACTAAATAAACTCCGTGAGGAAGATGGCACTGATGCTGTGTGCAGAGTGTCTAATCCCTTGCCAGGCACCCGGTCGCACTCAGTCACTAAGACCTGCTGAATGTCTAGACACACACACCGTTTATGTAGCAAGTACTCTTTTTCTTCTTTTCCAGAAGATTAGCAGAGGTTTATTTAGTAAGGCAGGATAAAGCAGGGAGAAATAGGAAGGAACACATCCAGACAGGAGTGGTGCCACATCTGTGACCCCAGCGTGTACAGGCAGAGGCAGCAGGATCGTGGGTTCAAGGCCAACCTGGGCTACATAGGGAGACCCTGCTTCTGAATAACTAAATACAAATGAAAATGTAAGCAAAATGACATGAGTGTAAAAGGGGGACTATTTTTGGAGGGGTGGTGGCAGCAGAAAAGGGAGGTAAGGGGGGGCGACGAGTAAGATTGAAGTGCGTTGTGTGCAGGTGTGAAAATGTAATGAAAACCATTGTTTCATACAAAAAAAATTGCAGTTTTGTGTAGACTTCTGTCAGATTTGTTTTTTAGGTGGGAGTGGGATTTGAACTCAGGGTTTGGCCCTTGCAAAGCAGATTCTCTACCACTTGAGCCACACCTGCAGTCCATTTGGGAGATGGGGTCTCATGAACTGTTTGCCCAGGCTGGCCTCAAATTTCCATCCTCCTGATTGCAGCCTCCCAAGAAGCTTAGATTACAGGTGTGAGCCACTGTGCCTGGCTTGTTAGAAAATTTTAATTGTGGCTTATTGCACAGATTGTGGGAAGTTACGAGATGATTTAGAGTCCTTGTAAATGATGTGTAAATTTGTAGCTTGCGGTAGGGATGAAGTTTTGAACTGAAAAGCATTTTTTATTTTCCTCTTTTAGGAGTGAGAAGCACTTTCATGGCGTTGAATCTCAGCGGAGTAAGTTGAATCATTGCCGTACCCGTATGCTTGCTGGTATGAAGGAAAAAAGGAAAACTTTGGTAACTAATAAATTCCATCACCAGGCGCTGGTGCTCACTCCTATAACCCTAGCTACTCAAGAGGCAGAGATCAGGAGGACTGTGGATCAAAGCCAGCCAGGCAAATAGTTCAAGAGACCCCATCTCAAAAAATCCAATACACACACAAAAAAAAAGGCTGGTGGAGTGGCTCCAAGTGTAGGCTCTGTGTTCAAACCCAGGGCTGCTAAATAAATAAGTAAATAAATAAATAAAATGGAAAGAGAATTACATATATATTTTTTTTTTCCTTTTTTGAAGATGTTGACATCTCAAAGATGTGGGGAGTTTAGAAACCTAGTCAAAGATTAAGGGGTTGGAGGATTGGTTCAAGTGGTACAGCACCTGCCTAGCAAGCATGAGGCCCTGAGTTCAAACCCCAGTGCTGAACAAAACCCACAAATTGAAGCAGCTCGTCACTTCCTACCTCAGATGCTCCCTGAGCTAAGTGCCACGTGAGCTTACAGAGAATTCCATTAGGAACATTCCTTGCCTGTTAGGTTGAATGCCAACCTAAAAACTGCACGCTCTGGTGGTTTTTATGAATGTTTCCTAAGATGGGTATGCTCTGTGACAGAAAGCCCTGTTAATTTTTAGTAGACTCATTGAACAAAAATTTTCCCAGTTGTATTTATTTTACTTAATATTTTAAGCCAAGCACGGTAGGGCATGCCTGTAATCCTGGCACTCAGGAGGCTGAGGCAGAAGGATCACAAGTTTGAGGCCAGCCTGCGTTAATTTTTTAAAGTAAACTTTAATGTACTTGGAGAATTTTTACCAATAAATTTTGTTGCTATCAGCTTCTCGTCTGTGACTTGGGGTGAGCATTTCAGTTTTCTCAAAGTGGAAAATTCTGGCACTGCTTTCTTGGCTCATGGTAGCAAATTGTCTTAAGTTAGTGACATAACTCGATGTGTGTCCCACCTAGACCTCCACCTGCCCCACTCAGGGGCCGGCAGGGCGGGGTGCAAAGACAGCAGGACCCCAGTCAGGATGGGGTCATCAGATTTGTGTCCGTGAAGATCGAGGCTTGTCAAAAGTGAGGGAGAGCCGGGTGCCAGTGGCTCACGCCTGTAATCCCAGCTACTTGGGAGGCTGACGTGGGGAGGGTCACAGTTGGAGGCCAGCGTAGGCAGAAGGGAGACCCTGTTCCAAAAATGCCCCACACAGGAAAGGGCCTGGTAAGTGCGAGGCCATCGGAGCCCCTCAGCGACACAGGCAAGAGCGGGGCGTGCGGTCCCCGCCCCATCCGCGCTGAGGCCCCAGCCAGGCGGGCGGGGTGCGAGGTCCCGTCCCTCCCCACTCGTTCTTGCTGTGACGACCACGTCGCCCCTCTGCAGCCGGGTCGCCGGGAGCTCCTGTGCCCTAGCCTGCCTGCCCACGGGGACATGGGCCATGGGGCCACAGCCGGGACGCAGCGGCCCCTCTCTGCGCTCCCGACCTGGCCTCCTTGCCCCAGATGACGGCGACCTCCTGGGGGTGGCACGGTGGTGTAAACCCTGGCACGCGGCTGCTCGTGGGACGACAGTGACAGGCCTTGTGGCCGTAGAGGTCAGCGTGAGCAAAGAGAGCGGGTGCGCCCCACAGGACCCCAATTCAAGACGCCGCGGCACCCGCTGTCACCCTGAGCCCCAGGGCCGGAGGGGGAGGGGAAGCCAGCCCCAGCCCCTCCGTGCGCCACCAAGGGACCCCGCGGCCTTCGCGCTCCCTCCCGGTGACTGGTGACTGCTTTCCCCGGTGACAGGGGCAGGGATGCCCGGGAACTGGAGACCTGGCCGGCCAGGGGGCCGCAGTACCCCGCATGCGCGGCAGAGGGCGCGCTCGGGCCGCACGCTGATGTCCCGGTGGGAGCCGCGCTGCTGTCCCCGCGCCTGGCCAGCAGGGGGCGGCCGAGAGCCTCCCAGCGCCTGCGCGGGGCCCGCTCGGCGACAGCGCCCCCTAGTGGACAAGACCCCCGAAATGGGTGGAGGAGGGGCTCCAAGCCGGCTCCCACAAAGGCTGTCACGACAGTCACGACAAAGACACGAGACCCTGAAAGCTGTTAAAGCCCATCTGTGATCTCAGAACGCCACAGGCACAAGAACCCCCAAAAGCAGAATTGGGATTGGGCCCTGGCTCAAGTGTAGAGCACCAGCCCAGCAGAGCAGCATTTCCTGAGTTCAAATCCCAGTACGATGAGCTGATCATGGAATCCAGTTTGTGGGGGTCTTTTGGGGGGTCGTCTTGTTTTGCAGGGCCTAATGCTTGAGCCATACCACCAGCCCTTGTGTTTGTGTTTTGTTTTGCAGATGGGGTCTTCCTAGGTAGCCAGGATGCCTCCGACTCTCAATCCCCCTACTGAGTAGCCAGGATTGCCAGCTTGTGCCACCACGCCCAGACCAAAGCACTGGGGTCAGTTCTCTCCCACCTCACCGGGCATGGTGGTGCACACACCTGTAATCCCAGCACTCACTCGGGAGGCACAGGCAGGAAGATGGTGATTTGCAGGCCAGTCTGAGCTACAAAAGAAGAAAACAGGTGTGCACTGGTGGCTCACACCTGTAATCCCAGCTACTGGGGAGTCCGAGATCTATTGGAAGGATCTCGGTTCAAGGCCCACCTGGGCAAATAGTTCTAGAGACCCCATCTCCAAAATATGCAGATCAAAATGGTCTGGAGGAGTGGCTTAAGTTGTAGAGTGCCTGCTGTGGAAGTGTGAAGCCCTGAGTTCAAACCCCAGTTCCACCCAAACAGCAAAAAAAAAGACACAGCTCCACAGAGGAGGCCATGTAAGCGAGTAGGGAGAGGGAGCCTTGAGCGTCAGGTGCAGGAGTTTGAAATGTCTGCCAGGGCACCGGGGAGCCATGGAGGCCCGACATGCAAAAACTCAAAAGCCTAAGGTCGCCAGAGCCAGCTCTGCCTGTGGCTGAGGTGACAGAGACCGGTGACCTGCAGGAGGAGGTTACAGGGGCCTCAGAAAAGCAGTGTCAGCCCTGGGGGACAGCGGGGACACTGTGGCTCTTGAACTATAAACCCCAAAGTCTGGAAGTGGAGCAGCCATGGGCGTGGGGGCTGCGACAAGGCCAGAGTGATATCTTGGGAGCCAGGCTTGCCAATGTGTGCGTGTGTCCCCAGCACACACAGGAAGCCTCCGTCCTGGAAGAGGAAAGGACACAATGACAAGTCACGTGACCAGGGGAGGGGGCTTCCTGTTTCCCGGCCCCTCCCAGGCCTTGGCCAGCTCAGGTCTGAGCAGGCAGTGGCCAGAGTGACCCCAGGAGTGCCAGGAGGCCCAGCCTCTGACCAAGGTGCCTCCAAAAGAACGGACAGGTGGACAGGGCTGGCTTAGGGCTTTTCGGTTTAGGGGGCCTGGGGAGGACAGGGGCTCCCGGGTCCCCATCCCTGTGCAGATGGGGAGGAAGGGGACCACTGGGTGTGGTGCTGCACGCCTGTAATCCCTGCACTCAGGAGGCAGAGACGGGAGGATTGAGAGTTCAAGGCCAGCCGGGGCTCAAAAAGAAGAAAAAGAAAGAAAAAGAGGGCCGAGAAGAAGGGAGAAGGGAGGGGACAAACTTGACAGGTAGTGACCTTCCTGTCAAGGGTGACATTCAAGTGTCAAGTCCAGCGCCCTTCCAGGGGACAGTCCTGTTTCCCAGGGGAGGAAATCAAGGCTGTCATTCATCCAGGGGACAAGGAAGGGCAGCAATGAGCGGCCGGGTCACACGGCCCCGCAGCCGGCGAGGGAGGCACCCTCCACCCGTAAGTGTCCCTGTCACCCCGCCACACCTGCGCCGTGGGACACGACAGCCCTGCGTGGCTCAGCGCTGGCCCTGGGCCCTTCTGCAGGGAGAACTGGACCCGGTGGCTGAGAGCTCAGAGGAGGCGGAGGCGGCCAGTGGAGGCCCCAAGCCCGGGCCCGGGCCACCTCAGGGGGACCCCGGGTCACAGCTGCTGGGCGCCGTGGCGGAGGGCTGTGACCCAGGCCCAGAGAGCAGGTAAGATGCCCTCCGTCCAGCCCCGGTGCATCCCGCCATGTCCCTCTCCTGCTCACCCGCCTGCCGTGGCTCCCCACTGCCCTCCTCAGCCTACTTTTCCTGTCCCCTTCTTTCTCCTCTTTTTTTTAGGGTGACCCTGGGGTTTGAACTCGGGGTCTTCACCTTGAGCCACTCCGTCAGCCCTTTTCTGTGATGGCTTTTTTTTTTTTGAGATAGGGTCTCTTGGAACTATTTGCCCAGGCTGGCCTCGAACCTCGATCCTCCTGATCTCTGCCTCCTGAGTAGCTGGGATTACAGGCGTGACCACTGCACCCTGCCGTTCCCAGCTCCTGGCAGCTCACTCTGTTCCCTGAAACCCTGAGGTTCTGTCCCCAGGGTTCCTGCTGAGCGCCAGGTGGCTCAGGTTCCTGGGTTGGTTCTTCCAGGAGTGACAAGGAGGCTGATGAAGGTGGAGGACCGGCCTCAGCCCCAGAGGGACTCCAAGAGCCCGCTGTGGAAGCTCGGCAGGCCCTGGAGGCAGCGTCGCAGGATGGGGTGTCTGTCCCCTCTGGGACGGGGACCCCCAATGTGTTTCAGAGCCTCCAGGACGCTCTGAGCTCCCTGGAGGCGGCTGCTGCCGCCTGGCGCCTCCAGCCCCCGAGCTGGCCCGGGCCACTGGAGGCAGAAGGCAGACACGAGGGGCCACCAGATCCCTGTCCTGAGCAGGACAGGGCTGGAAGCCACCAGCAGGAGGTGGCCCGCCTCTCCGAGAGGAACTCCTGGCTGCGGCTGGCCCTGGGCAGCCGGGAGGACGAGCTGCTCCGCACACAGGCCTCCCTGCAGGCCGCCCGGGCCGAGAAGGAGACGCTGCAGAGAGACGTGAGTGGTCAGGGTCCTGCGCCACCTCCCAGGAGGCAAACCTGTGGGGAGCACTGGCTGCTGAGCCCAGCCGGTGAGCAAGGCAGACAAAGGTTCTTTGCAGCCTTCATGAAGGTGGTCAGGGAGCCCCACCGGATAAAGACCAGGAGGAGGCTGGTGTGACAGTGACAGAGTGAGCATCAGGACAGTGGGGGAGCTGAGGGCAGGGAGGTGACAGGGAACCACTGTACGTACAGTCCTTGGAACTGTGGCTCTGAGTGAGAGGGCTGCTCACCGGCGCCCTCTGGCGGCCATGTGAGGAACAGTCTGTGGAGGTGGGGGCAGAAGGTCCAGGGAGGTGACAGAAGGTGACAGATTCCCTGCCATGTTGAAAGGAGAGGTGACAGGTGTAAGCGTGGAGGCTACAGAGAGGCGCTCTACCGCTTGAGCCACAGCTCCACTCCATTTTGCCCTGGTTATTTTGGAGATGGGGTCTCTCCAACTATTTGCTGGGGCTGGCCTCGAACCTCGACCCTCCCGATCTCAGCCTCCCAAGAAGCTAGGATTACAGGCGTGAGCCAGTGGTGCCCGGGATTTCACGGTTTGCCTGTGTGTGAATATCTTCCTTGTTGGATTGTGGGTGTCCAGGCATGAAGGGCGGACTGTATGTCCTAGTCCGCAGCTCAGGGGTGAAATGTGACATTTGAAGCTGTGTGGCTAAACCACCAGGAGTGGTTGCACACGCCTGTAACCCCAGCACCTGGGAGGCGGAGGCAGAAGGCTCACCTGAGTTCAGGAGTTCAAGGCCAGACTGGGGAGCACAGTGAGACCCTGTCTCAAAAAAGTAAAGTGAAATTATTTTCCCTCCCGTGGGGCCCATTTCTCTGGAAAGACAAAACCAGGTGTCTGGGGACAGAGCCAAGGTCGTGTCGTGAGGACCAGGGCTCTGGCTACTGCCCTGGCCTCGCAGAGGGAGGACGGTCATGCTTGGAGCCCCAGCCTGACCCCCCACCCCGTCCCCCTCTAGGTCCAGGAGCTCCAGGACACCCTGATGAGGCTGGAGTCCCCCCAGCCTCGTTGTCACAGCCAGGCAGGTGGCCTGGGCAGCGATTCCAGCAGCTCTGGGGCCGACGAGGAGCCCTGGGGGCCTCAGGTGGGCGTCCCCGCTGTCCCCAGCATCTGAGGGATGGGGTGGTATCCCACAGCGACTGGCCTGACCCCCGGCTCTCAATGACATTTGGGTAAATCAAGTCCCGTCTTCCTGGCAGGACTCCCCCTTGGCTCATCCCCTGCTCCGGCGTCTTGGGAACCATGCCAGCTCCCAGATCCTCGGGCCTCCGTCCGCACAGCCTCCCGCCCCCGACGCGCATGCCATGGCAGGCCACATGGAGCAGCTCCGGGGGTAAGAGCCACAAATGGACCGGGCTCGGGGGCGCACGCCTGTAATCCCAGCTACTTGGGAACCAGAGATCAGGAGGATTGCGGTTCAGGGCCAGCCTGGGTAAATAGTTCTAGAGACCCCATCTCCAACATAACCAGAACACATGGACTGGAGGCGTGGCTCAAGGGGTAGAGCGCCTGCCTTGCAAGTGCAAAGCCCTGAGTTCAAATCCCAGTCCCACCACAAATGCTGAGCTCATAAGGGCACCGGTGTCTCCCCTGGCTGGGTTACACCTGGTGCTGGAGCAGTGGGGACAGGGGGAGCTGACGCCTGCTGGTGACCTCTCACTGGCCCTCTTTCCACCTTTGTGAGCAGGGACATGGAGAAGCTCAAATGTTTCAACCGCCTGCTGCTGACCGTGCTGCAGGGGTGCAAGGGCCACTGTGAGGGCCTCACCGTGCACCTGGGCCAGCGGGAGGCCGAGGCCACCGCACTGCGCCTGGCCCTGCAGTACAGGTGCGTCCACGCTGCATGTGACACTGGTGGCCGGGAGGGAATGGGCAGTCCAAGGATGGCCCCAGTCCACAGCAGGGGACCGGCCGTGGCACGGGGACACGGTCCCTCACCAGGGAAATCAGGGTCATGCAGTTCCAGCCCGGGGTGCTGGGGGAGTCTGCAGGGGTGAGGGACGCAGGGTCACCCCACGCCAGCAAGATGGCGCCGGGTGACACAAAAGCTCAACGTCCCACAGTGAAGACTGCGAGGAGGCCTACGGGGCCCTGCTCGCCCTGCAGGAGGCCGACTCAAGAGCAGTGGACAAGGTCCCCAGCGATGACCTGCAGGTGGCCAAGAAGGAAGCCTGCAGGCTGCTGGCAGAAAAGGAGGCCACCATGGATGGAGGGACACCACGGCCAAGGTACCCCGGGAGCCCCAGGCACAGTGCTGGCCCTGCCCGGGGGACAGGGCTCCCACGGCTGGCCTCGTGTTGGGGTGGCCGTGCCCAGCAAAGTTGGCACTGAACTCGCTGTGGTCGGTGGCCTGTTGTGACTTGAGGAAGTTGTCACCATGGTTGGCAGCCATTGGGGTGGGTGTGGCTTGAGGATGGTGGCCTGGTGCTTGGTGGCACCCCACTGGGGGTGACAAGCTGGGTGATAGTGGCTATTGGGCTGGCACGGTGGCGTCCACCATGTCGACAAGAGCACGTGTCCTCTGAGTTGACCTGATGACGTCCGCCATGTTTGAAGGAACTTGGTCGTGTGACAGCCGACACAGAGCCCGTCACCATGGAAGGTGATGGACGCTGGGTGGTCAGGAAGTCAGTGTCACCGGCGTGTCACACGGGCCCATGTCCTCCTGTGTCCTGCAGCCCCGAGGGCAGCAGCGTGGATAAACCCACCCCACGGGAAGTGGCCGTCCAGCTCCGAGGCTTTGTGCGGCGTCTCCAGGGACGCAGGGCCCTGCTGAAGGTGCCCCCAGAGCCCGGCCCCGCCATGACGCCCAGGCTCACGGTGCCCCACGCGGAAGCCATGGTGCAGGCCATTCTGGACACCCAGCTTGGCCCCGCGCTGCCCCGGCTGGATAAGAAGCAGATACAACAGGACCTGGTGGCCACTCGGGTACAAATGGGCTGAGGTCACCATGTCTTTCCTGAAGTGACAAATCCTTTGGATGAGACTCAGAGGGATGTGGGTTGGAGATGGAGGCAAGGAAGAGTTCCACTGGACTGGAGGAAGGAGAACTGGAGTTGAGGTTCTGAGGGATGAATAGGAGTTTGACCTCTGGGATTCAGTTTATTAGATTTTTTTTGGCAGTGCTGGGGTTTGAACTCGGGGCCTCACGCTTGCTAGGCAGACACTCTACCATTTTGAGCCACTCTGCCAGGCCTTTTTTGTGTTTGGTAATTTTGAGATAGGGTCTCAGGAACTATTTGCGAGGCTGGCCTCGAAACTCCTGAGTGGCTGGGATTACAGACGTGAGCCGTGGGTGCACAGTGCATACCTTCAGGGCCTCAGTTTCCCCAGTGGTGGATTCTGGAGGCACAGGCTGTCCTCCCTGTCCCTCAGGAGGCCCTGGCTGACCTGACGCTGCAGCTGCAGCTGGTGCGGCGTGAGAAGCGGGGCCTGGAGCTGCGGGATGTGGCGCTCAGGGCCCAGGGCCCAGCCCATGTGCTGCTGCTGGAGCAGCTGCGCTGGGAACGGGCACAGCTCACGGCCACCAGAGCCACCAACAGCAGTGGCGGGGGCAGCAGCGAAGGCAGGAGCAGCGACGACGAGGAGGAGTGGCCCCAGGTGAGCTGCCCTGCCCCCACCCAGCTTGGTTTCCACTGCTGCCCAAAGAAGCAGGTCGGACCGGGTGCAGTGGGTTAAGCCTGTAATCCCAGCTACTCTGGAGGCTGAGATCTGGAGGATCCCAGTTAGAGGCTAGCCAGGGCAAAAAGTTAGTGAGACCCCATTTCAACCAATAAAGCCTTGTGTGGCGACAGGGTCTCGCTATGTAGCACAAGCTGGCCTCAAACTCTCAATCTCCTGGCTCCCTCTGCCTTGGGGCTGGGATTACAGGCATGCACACTTCATCCAGCTTTTCCAAGCTTTTGATCGCACCCCCTTGAATCACCTCTCCCATGTCCCAGACTTTGTACATGCTGCGCTCTGCCAGGAACACTAATCATGACTTTCTTGTACTCTTGAACTCAGCTACCACCTCTTCCAGGAAGTCCTCCTTGACTGTCTGCAGATGAAGCCCCCAGTTATTTCCTTTGACAGAGAATCATTTTGCTCACGTCTGGGCATCTCAGCAGATCGAGGCCAGCGGGTGTGGCTGCCATTTGTCCAGGCAGCTTCAATGTCCAGCTTGGGCTGAGCACACACTAGACCTAATGTCACTCCCTCCTCCCACCCTCCTGCTTCCCTCAGGGTCCCCCTGCTGTTCTGGGTGGCACCACTGGTACCAACGAAGGCCAAACGGGCAGAGTGTGGGAGCCAGAGAAGTTATCCCAGGAACTGGCGATGTCACATAGCCGGTGTGTGCCTGGGGGAGGGCCGGCTGGGTGGCTGGGTGGGTGCTATGCGGGGCCCAGGTGTGCTCACTCAGAAGCACCAAGGGCAGGTGGGCCACAGGAGAGAAGGGGACAGCATTAGCCGTGACTGGCAGCCTCCTCTCCCCTGCGCCAGGTCCGCGGACCTGCAGCAGCAGCTGAGGTCTCTCCGGGAGCGACTGGAACAGGTGGCCCGGAAGGGACGAGCCAGGCGGGCTCAGAGCGCTGAGCTGAACAGAGACCTGTGCAAGGCTCACAGGTGAGGCCCCTAGACCTGGAATCGCCCCCTTGGCTCTCTGTGGGTCTCAGCTTCTCCCTGTGAGAGAGGCCCCAAGTTCAAACCCCAGTACTGCTCCCTAAAAAAAGAAAAAGAGGCACCAAGTTTAAACTGTCCCACCTGTCCCCTGGATGCCCACTCAGCCATGCTGAGACCCCCAGGAGGTCCCAGTCCTACAATGCTGGCCGCCTGGGAATGGGAGTCTGAGCCCCTGTCCTGGGTGGAGTTGGGGGCTGCCCCTGGCTCAGCGCCCCCTTTCCCCCCGCAGCTCCCTGGTCCTCGCCTTGCGTGGAGCCCACCGCAAGCAGGAGGCACAGTGTGGCAAGTTGGAGCAGCAGGTGGCACTTATGCAGGCCCGGCAGGCCGAGGAGCTGGCCAGGCTGGAAGCCACCGCTAGAGCCCTGGCCTCGTCCAGGCCACCCCAGCTGGGGGAGACCCTTCTGTAGGCCTGCGGGGATGATGCCCTTGGGTGTCCCCGGCGTGGTGGCTTTAGAAAAAGGCTCAGAGTCTTTGTCTAGGCAGAATGAACTTGATCTGTCACTGGGGCCAGGCCAAGGGCAGTGGAGACCTGGGGTCAGGGACAATTTTGGAGTCAGTGAGGCTGGATTTCTGCCTGTCCTCAGGAGGGGTCCTTGGGGACGGGGATCCAGGGAGAGGCTGGGTCAGGTCTGGCAGGTGCCATGACCCAGAAGGGACAAAGAGCGGTGGCCCCGGGTTAGAGGGGAGGGGGAGGAACACAGGTGACTTGGGGACTTGTATTTAAAGAAGGTGGAGGGGACCTGGGGGTGTCGCCCAGTGGCAGATGCGGGCTCAGGCTCTGCAAAGAAAAACCCTAAAACCCTAAAATAAAATAAAGTGTGAAATTCAAAGCCGTGCGAAGGATAGAGGGGTTCTTTGGACTTGGGGGGACCAGGGAGCCCCCTAGTCCGTGGGGAGCCTGCCTGGGCCGCCCCGTGCAGCCTGTGGGGGTGGGGCTGTGGGAGGTGGTTTTGCCAGTAGCAGACAGCCGATTAGCATATCATTTGCATAGGCCACGCCCCCTCGCCCGTCCACGGAGTGTCGGGGGGTAGCTGGGTTGGCAGAGGGGGGCAGCGGGGCTCGGATTAGTAGCCAGGTGTCCCCTCTTGGGCGGAAGCTGAAACCCAAGATGGGCCTTGGAAAGGTTTTGTCCCCAGCGGGGCGCGCGCTCCGGCCGCACCTGTGCAGGTGAGCGCTGGGTGGCTGTGGTCCCTGGGGACGCCACGCTTGGCGTTCACGCCAAGAAGGCGGAACTGGAAGGTGGGGGTAGTGGACAGTGTTCTCTGGGGGGCACTGGGGCTGGTGACTTGCAGTCCCCAAGCGCTGTCTCTGGACCGGGACTGACTTTGCAGAAAGAGGGAAACTGAGGCAGCCCACCTTGCAGGGGGAGGGGCGCGTCCAAGGAGCTAGCTTCTCCCTTGCTTTCTCTCTCCCTGCAAGAGTCGCAGAGTGACCTGAGCCCCCAGACCCATCAGGCTGCCGAGGGGGGTGGTGTCAAAGGAAGCCAAGGTCACCTGGAGGGGTGGAGCGGGGGCAGGTTCCCAGGCTGCCCGAGCCACGTCTGGCCATGTTCCCACCGGCGCCCCCGCGGCAGATGGGCCCAGGCCCCTTTGTCACCAGTCCGCGGCCGCCACAAGGTCAAAAGTCACCGCGGGGCCGCGGGCAGGGGTCAGGGGGGCGGGGCTGAGCTGCCCCCCTGCCATGGGCTCCACGGATCCGGGAGCTTCCTTCCCTCCCGCCGGAGCCCCCTCCCCCAGGTCCCTGCTCTCTCTCTGCTCAGCACCCCCCTTCCTGAGCCTCTTTCCATTCTAACCCCCCTTTTGGATCCTTTCTCTGAGACCCACACCCCGTGCCCCCCAACCAAGGATCCTGGCTGGTCCAGGCCAGGAGCACTAGGACCTCTGTCCTCACCCCAAATAACCAACCAGCGTCCCCACATTCCTATGAAGCCCCCAAACCAAAGTGTCCCCTCTGCTCCCTCCCCCAGCAGGGCTCCTATGGGGCGATGGGAAGAACCCACTCCAGGCAGACCTGCGGGAAGTCCTTTCCAGATCTAACGCTAGTCCCTCCTGCTTTCTGTATTCACTAAGTCTTTTCACGTCACAGACCCTTCCTGGGAGGTCCAGAGGCCCAGGCAGGGCTCGTGTACCAGGCTGAAGACCCCTCAACCTCAATTTCCCGTTTCTCCTTAACGGTTGCGTAATCAAGCATGTATCTCCCCAGGCCCAGGTCTCACCTGTGGGGAGAGAGGCTTTCCTTTTTCGCAGGACCCCCCCCTTACTGATCGGGGAGGCAGAAGAGCACGTGGGGGCAGAGGACACTGTTGTCCTGCCTGCCGCTCTCACAGACCCAGCCACGTGCCCTGGCGTCCACTCTGGGCCCAGGGCTGGGCAGCAGGACCTGCTGGACTCAAGAGGTGAAAGGTCACTTCAGGAAGGACTTCTCCAGCCGGTTAAACGTTAACAGGCAGTACAGCGCAGGTTCAGGCTTGCATGCAAAGGGTGCTTAATAAATGCTGGTGGAGCCAGGGTCTGGCGGAGAGGGCGGGGGACTGGAGAGACATCTGCAGTCCAGCCGGCCGCCGGGCCGAGCCCTTCCCTTAGAGCCCAGAAAGCAGAGGAAATGAAGAGGGGAAAGGGACAGTCCCCAGCAGGGGTGGCGGGCATTCCTGCCACCTCCAGCCACTTTGCAGAGCTGCCGGACGCCCTGCCCCCAGACGCCTGGGGAGGGGACCCCTAATCGCCAAGCCGGGCCAACCCGGCTCCGACCGCAACCTCCCTTCCCCCTGGAGGCTGCAGGCACCAGGTGTCAACCCGAGCAGAGAAAGGGTGGAGTGGGGGTCGGCCGCGGCGACTTTCTGGAAGAGGAAACAAGGACAATCCATCATGTAACTGTGCAAAGAAATGCCCCAGGCGTGCGTGCATGCGTGCGTGTGCGTGTTGCGCAGGGGCGCGCCCCCGGGGTGGCAAATGGCCCCCCATTATTGCTTCTGCCGGGAATGCGTCGCGGGCGGGGGGGAGGTGGGGGGGAGGCGGATCCGAGGGGCGCCACGAGGGCGGTGGAGCGACACGGCGTCCAAGGCCGGAGGTGGAGGGGAGGGACATCCCGGGGAGTTTCGGGGAAGGGCAGAGGGCAGCGGCGGCTGGCCCTGCAGGGGTTAAGCCTGGAGCGCGGCGAGGCAGGGCGGGGGCACCGCGGGGAAGGGAGTGAGGAGGGAGGGGACGGGACGAGGACGCGGGCGGGGTGGGGGGGGGGGGGGGGAGGGTCAGGCCCGGCGGCCCCGCGCTCCGCCTCCGCCCCTCCCCTCCCGCCGGCCGGGGCGCCGGGCGCCGCGCGCGGCCACCCATGCCCTTATAAGGGCGGCCGTCGCCCGGGCAACGAGCGCCCGCCCCCAGCCCGCGGCGCGCGCCCCTGCCCCCGCCCCCGCCCCCCGCCCGCCCCGCGGATGGAACGTTGTGTGTCAAACCGGCCGCAGCGCGAGGCCGGCGCGCGGGGTCGGCGGCGGCGGCGCGGCGGCGGCGGCAGCGGCGAGAGCGAGGCTCGGGCCCAGGCGCAGGCCCAGGCCGGGCGGGCGCGGCCGCAGCGGGGGCGGCAGCTCGGGAGACGCCGGACCGCGGCCCTGCAGGCCCCGAGCGCCCGCGGCCGGCACCTGGGGGACACTCCGGAGGACCCGGGGGGGGGCGCGGCGACCGGCCCGGCGCGCGCCCGCCGCCCCTCCCCCTCGCCACGGGCGGCCGCGCAACTTGCGGCCAAACTTTCCCCCCGGCCTCCCGCGCTCCGATGGCGACCCGCTAAGTTGGCCACAGCCCGGGGCCCAGGCGCGGCCAGGCCACAGGGCGCCCCCTGCGCAGCCCGGGCCGGGCCATGGCCCGCGCGCCCTTCCCGGGGCCCCAGGGCGGCGGGGCGCGACACCTCGGGGTCCCCGGCCCACGCCTCTAGCGCGGCCCCCCCACCCCCACCCCCGGGGCCCGCGCACGCGTGGGAAAGTTGGCCTGGAACCGGCCCGACCAGTTCCGCCCGGGCGCGCGGACCGGCCGCAGGAAGTTGCTGCAAAACTTTTTTGGGGGGTGCAGCCCGTGCCCCCCTCCGCGAGCCGGGCCCGGATGCGCGCCGGGTAGGGGTCCCCCGGGCCCAGAGGGGCGCCCGAAGGGAGGCGCCGCGAGGAGGGGGCGCCCCGGCCCCGCTGCCCTGGGGCTATGGCCATGGTGACCGGCGGCTGGGGCGGCCCCGGCGGCGACACGAACGGCGTGGACAAGGCGGGCGGCTACCCGCGCGCGGCCGAAGACGACTCGGCCTCGCCCCCCGGCGCCGCCAGCGATGCGGAGCCCGGCGACGAGGAGCGGCCGGGGCTGCAGGTGGACTGCGTGGTGTGCGGGGACAAGTCGAGCGGCAAGCATTACGGCGTCTTCACCTGCGAGGGCTGCAAGAGCTTCTTCAAGCGGAGCATCCGCCGCAACCTGAGCTACACCTGCCGGTGAGTCCCCTCCGCCACCGCGCCACCGGCCCCGGACCTGCTCGGTCACCTTGGGCCTGGCGCTGACCTTCCCCGGCCTCCCCTCCACCCAACCCCCCCCCTCGTGGCTGGTGGCTCGAGGCCCGGGCCGCCTCTCTCCACCGCGCTCCTGGGATCATGTATACAGTTGGCGCTGCATCCATGCATGTCCCCGGTCCCCCCAAACCCCCCATCAGGTGGTCCCTGGCGGCTTCCGCCCAGGTGGCTTGCTCTGCCTCTCTTTTTTCCCTGGGGAGGGGTCATCGCCGCGGCAGGGAGGCCTGGGGAAGGGGTGCTGTCAGGAGTGGGACCCCAGCCCCAGCCCCACCCCCCCTTTCTCGGTGATCGGACGCTGCGGGGATTCCCGCGGGAATCGAACGTGGAACTTGGACCCGGGAGCTCGCAGCGGCCAGGGGCCATTGTCTGCGGCCGCGCGGATCGATACGGCGCGCCCTTGGGGTCAAATATCACTTCCAAAGTCGCCCTGGCGACCGCGGCAGCTGGAGCAGGCTGGGGTGGCACGGGGTGGTCTCCTTCGCCTAAGGGGCTCCGCTGTAGAGGGACAGCTGGGCCGGCCCATCGCGGGGGGGGGGCAGCTCCTGGGCGCACCCTGGCCTTTAGGTCACCGGAAATCGCCACTGGAGGACCTGCAAGGCCACCGGAATTGACCGCACCCCCCCCACACACCCAGGGGCGGTGCAGACCCGGGCCTCCCGGACAAGCCTTTTAAACTTTCGGGGTGGCGCTGAAACGGCTCGGGAGTGAGTGCTGTCATGGAGGAACCCCACCCTGGCCCAGTTTAAAGGACCCCTCCGGCAGGGCGTGGCCCTGCTAGCTGTTCTGATTGGTGTTGGGGACAGAAAGTCCCCCAGGAAAAAGGGTGTGTGTCCAGCCCAGGGGAGCCTGAGTGTCCTTTGCACCCCTGGACGTGGTCCTGCTGTGTACCCAGAAACAGGCAGTGGCCTGTGCAGAGTCGATAGAGATGGTCCCATCTCCCAGATGCCCAAAACTGAGCTCCAGGATGTCCTGACATCTGCCCCACGTGTCGCATCAAGGGACCCTGTCCCAAGGTGGGGCTGAGCAAGGAGAATCGTAGGTGCAAAGGAGTCCTTTCAGTTAGGGTCTCTGCTTCCAGAGCTGGACGGAGGGCTTGGTGGTCAAAGGCCACAGACACCTGGGGCTGGACTTTGGCCCCAGGTCAGGGCCACTTGGGTGGCCATTTGTGGCAGAGCTGGCATGTTTCTTCCTCCAGCGCTAACTGGGCCACCAGACTTTGGCCTCATTTTTGCTGCCAGAATCAGTGCTTGCTCTCTGACTGGGTCTTT